GAATAGAAAGTTCCTGGATTTATTTGGCCAATCCACTCGATCGGAAGCGAGTCATGGACTCGGGTAGACACTGAATCACGGCCACGGGCCAATCTCTCGCAGCAGTGGACCCATTTGGCCATGAATTCAAATAGGGAACCACCTCAAAAGTGATTCTTTGGTGCATTTTGCTTGCACGTTAGGACTAACTTTTAGTGGTTTAATGGAAAACCCAATAGTTGAGCAGAAAGCAACCTTGGATTGGAAGACCAATGGCCCATCTCTCTGAGAAAAAAACAAAAAAGATGTGAAAGCCCCTCCTGCCATCTTTTTCAGGATATGAAGGGCACCATCCGGGTCTTCTGCCGGTTCCGGCCCATCGGCAAACGAGAGCACGAGAAAGGGGACTTCCAGGCGCTGCACAAGGCTGGGCTTGAGAATTTTTTGAGACCCGGAGTCTCCTAGGTCCCCCAGTGGTGCCCTTTGACCGTTTCTCGTTTCTTTTTTTCGGGGAGGGTTCCCCTACTAAAATAGACTATACAAAAAAATGGGTACCCTTATTCTAACCTCTCTACTGGAGGACATAGTCTCCTTCTGACCCGAAATGAACATGGGTCCATGACCCCATGATTTGGGGTAATGACCAAACTCTTTGTTTAATAAGGATGGAGACTCCAGGTAGGGGTTGATTCCCCATGCGATTCACCAGTCTTTGTAATAAAAGCAAAAAACAAAAACAAAACTGCTGTTTCCTCATGAAAAGATTGGGATCTCGGGAAAGAATGGTTGGAAGCTTCCCCTAGAAAGTTTTGGTTTGTTTCGATGCGGTCACCTGAATCGCTGGTTGCAAACCAAGGATTGCATGAAGTCCGGACCGTCCCCAGACATCCCCGGGCTGTGTAACTGCAGTCCATGTACGTAGACCCTCAAGCTACCCATGAAACAAAGTTGGAATCCACCAACCACAATTGCGGGTTGCAATAACCTATTTTTGCTTAAGTTGGTAATTTGAGGTGCAGACAGCTCTTAAGTGACAGTCCAGCCTCGCACGTGAAAAGTTAATCAAGAATGTACCTGTTGTTTCTTGGAGTGAAGCAAGTTTGGAATTGCTGGCCAGAATACTTGCTTTGCTCACCGATTTGTTTTCTTCTGGAAGCCCCATGCAGGTCCACCGATCCGCGTTCTTTCTTTAATCAAGTGGCCCTATGCAGGCTTGAGACCTTCCTGACGACTGTGAACGATAGGTTAGCCCAGATCGCTTGGAAGAGCCGTTCTCAGGGACGCTAACCCACGTTGCGAAGACCCCCCGAACCGTTGAGGTCTGATTTGCCGTTGAGGTCTGATCTTCTTCGGTCTTCATATGCTACGACCAGCAGGGCGTGTTCATTTCGGAGTTGTGTTTTTCATCAGGAACTACCGGACACTCATTCAACATGAAGCTATTCGAGACTATGAGACATAGGGCAGCTATTCAAGGCTGTGTATTTATTTCTTCAACAAACTAGGGAAACTAGTTGAAACTATGTCTATAAAAGGAAACTAGTTGAAACTATGTCTATAAAGGAAACACTAGTTTTGTTGGGCTAGGTTTGTAGAAGACTCAAGAAAACCCTTGTCCCCGAGCCGCTGGGTGGTCGCAGCTGCAGGAAGGCTGAGGTTCCCGCCTCTGGGTCTCCAAAGGCGTCGGTTCCACATCCTGACTTCCCGACCTTTCACTGATTCACGCACTGCCTGACTTCCTGGACTTTTGCATGGTTGCTGTTGGGAAACATTGGACACATTTTTGATCTTATTGTGGTTCAGTGGTTGAAATCCAAATCCACTTAACTGCTAAAACTTGAGAATGTTTGCTCCCCTAACCCAACGTCAACCAAGTTAGTGGTTGGGAAGAAAGCTTCTAAGGAGGGTCCCCAGAAAAGCAGATTCCCCTCACTTCCTGAGTTCTGGGAGCTTCTTGGGTTGGTTGCCATGTGGTAAACAACAAGTTCCTGTGTCCCCTTTCATGGTAAGCACCAGAATTAAACTTCTTGGTGTGATAGGCAGGGCATGAGAAGTGGAATGACCCTATCTAAACCATCCCTTAAGTGGTTACCTATCGCGCCAGCAATAACAACTTTGCGCTTGGACCGTTTTAGTGGTGACCAACAAGTTCCCGGACTTTTTCGGCCCAGCCACTCGATCGGAAGTGAGTTCATGGTGTTCCAGCAAAAGGACCTCAGCGGGGAATGAGGGAATGACCCCTCCAAGCCATGCCTCAAGTGGTTTCCTTCAATTGAAGGGAATCCCTGAATTCATTCCGACATTCCCTACTTATCGCACCAGCAAGAAAAGTATTTGTTTTTGCGTTTGGACCATATGGACCATTTTAGTGGCAAGCAACAAGTTCCAGGACTTTTTCGGCCCATCCACTCGAAGCCAACGATTTGGCTGTGGGTCAAAACCAATGGGATCTCATTTTGGGGTAGGTGAATTCACCACCCATTTTTGCACCTATTTTAGTGGTTGGATTGAATCGGATGTTCACTGGGGGCTAACCGATTTGGATTTTGACCCATGGCCATTTCGGCCAACGAGCTCCTAAGTCTCAGGCGGACGCCTTCAGCGTGGACCTTCAGCGCTTGGCTCCTCACAACGACTGCCGCCGCTTCGACTTCGACGCGGCGCGTCCCCGGGCTCCGATTCGCCGATTTGCCGCGCGCAAGTCAGGGGTCTCCAAGCACATGGGGGCGTCTGTCTCTCTCTCCTTTTTGGGTGGGTACCTGGAGTCTCCTTCTGATTTTAATAAAAATGGTTGGTCATGACCCAAAATCAAGGGATCATGGACCCATGTTTGAAGGGGCAGCAGAAGGAGACTCCAGGTACCTCTTTTTGGGATTGCTTTAAAAGGAGACCAACACAAAACCACCCATGTTTGTGTGGGCCCCCTATTTTGAGACAAGACCATATGTTGCCACCATCCTTTCGTCCGTGAAGGTGTTTTACATAGTTTTGGGGCAACATGTCCAATTTGTAGGGGACTGTTGAGGGCTTAGCTTCCATTTGGTTAAGAGCATTGTTCCCCTGCTGGTTTTAAAGGGAATCTCTCACTACTGGAAATATGTTTGTTTTTTCCAGGGGACAAATGGAGGTTAGGCATATTTGATTTCCATTGGGTTCCTCTGAAAACGTAGGTTATATTTTAGGGGCTGAATATGGAACAGAGTCAGAACATCACATATTGTCCGTGTACAGCTGTGCAGCAAGAATCAAAGCCCAATTCAGTGAAGCCACATGTGTGGCACCTAGGAATCTTGCAGGGACCCAAATTAATCTTACCTCTCAAAAGCACAACTTTTCTCAACTTTTTGGGTAACATGGGCTATATGTCTGTAAAAGATGAGAACTTCCCCAGGTTGCTTGGAGTTTTAAGGGGTAAGTAATGAATCCCCCTTTGCAAGAGGGGGTTGTGGGGGTAACTCCCACCGGGGACGGAATGAACTAGGGACGTTAGGCAGTTAAGTGGGGTGGTCCTAAGTGAGGGGATCAGGGGTTGGTTGTTGAAGCGAATTGTGCGCTGTGCGTGTTTTGCAAAGCGCAGTTTAATGATAATGTTCGACAGAAAGATTAAGTTCCCCAGTCCTTCCAGAGCTACCAGACGAGGTGAGCCACGGTTTCGCCTCTAGGGTTCCTTGCCCCCATTAAAACAAAGGCCAGGACCCAATTTGAATGTTGACCATCCTTCGGTAGACAACGGTCATATGAACCCAACCACTGCTTGAATGGTGGCAACTGAACCCCACTTAAAGGGGCAGGGTACTTAGTAAGTGGTTAGTAAGCCAGGTTATAACCCACATGGGAGACTTATAACCATGGCAAGTGGGTTATAACCTGACTTACTAACCACTTACCTGACGTACCCTGCCCCTTTAAGCACAGTGTAGATGTTGCATGGTGTTCCGCTCTCGCAACGTGAAGCTCGGGGCCCTGAATGTGAACGAATGAAGAACTTCCTGTGGATGTTGCCTGGGATCGCAGTCCAGTTTGGAGATCCAACTCACTTTGAGGAAGCTATCCTTCCTGTTGATGCTTTCAGGGTCAACATCAAACCTAAAGGAAGAGATGCTGTCAACAAGCAGGTTTGGGAGTTAACAAAACGAGGGTTCCCTTCGTGTTTGCACTTTCTGTGCTTAAAGTGATATTTTTGTTTGGGCCCCAGTTTGGGCTCTTGTTTCTGTGAAGCTAGTTTGGTGCTTTCCTCATGTCATTTGTCTTGGACGTTTCAATATTGTTTCGTTTCCCAGTCGGTTTCACAAGGCAAAGCTTCTGACTTTATGTCGCTTATCTTGATATCTCCGTCTTTGGGCAAACGGGGCAACCGAAAGTGAGCATGGGCGACTTGCGCTTGTCTAAGAGCCCACCCGCCCCAACGGCGTTTTATTTGCCCTCGGCTTTCTATTTGTCCTCCCGTTTTGGCCTCTAATTTCCACAGTTCACTTAATACACTATTTGAGCTCAACAACAGTGTTCTTCCAAAGCAAAGTTGCCTGTGTGTGTTTCAAGATATTGGTTTGTAAGTTGTGCCAAATAGCCTATGCTTCTTGATTCACCCACAGGGAAAAAACAACAATGCATAATTACACTCGCTTCCTGAGTTTGTGGACTTTAAACTTTTTGTGCTTGGACCATGCTGGTGGCAAACAAAAAGTTCCAGGACTTTTTTGGCCAATCCACTCGATCGGAAGTGAGTACCTGGAGTCTCCTTCTGACCCTTCAAACATGGGGCTACCCCTTCCTTTGAAAAATGCCCCTCTCCCTTTTTTTCGGGGCCAAGGTGAACCCTCAAACTACCCATAAAGAAAAATGAAGTCACAATTGTGGGTTGCAAAACCCGGAGTTTTAAGTTGGAACTCCTTTCTGGTTCGGGTTATTAAAATGGCCAATCCACATTTTTTGGGACTTCCTTTAAACCCAACCACTCACTTCCTGAGTTTCCGGACTTTAGTCGCTTTTTGGGTTTGGACTCGACAATTTTAGTGGTAAGCATATTGCAGACTTTTGGGCACTATCCACTCGATCGGAAGTGAGACCAACCAAATGACTCCCCCCCCCCCCCATTTTTGCAGACAATGACAACAACCCATGTTTTTTCAGGGCTTGCCATTTTGGGGGCTTCCTTTAAAACCAGCCCACCACATGATCTCCCCCCCCCCCCCCGTCACTTTTTTTTTGCGAAGAAACATCGCGACGTCGCCAGGTCTTCGGAGCCGAGAGCTGCCAGCAGGAGGTCTTCAGCGATTGCGTCTCGGCTTCGCTCGCGGTCGGTCTTGGTCTTCGCTCGCGTGGGTGAAAAACCCTGGGGTTGGGGGATTCAGGAGTTCATCCAACCACTTCTGTGATACTTTTGCCCCCACAGCTCAAGAGCGGCTGCGGGCCGAAGGGGTTCCGGAAGGGTGCTCCCGGATACTCAACCTTTTCTTTGGCGTACCCTGTACTCAGTTGTTCAAAGCCGAGTTTTTGACCTTTTGGTTTTCCCTTTTTGGTCGATTTTTAGTAGAGGTCCCAAAAGGTTAACCTTTTATTTGCAGGTCCTTTGGGCAAGTGAGTGTATGTTTTAAGCCTACTGTGGATGGACGAAATCCATTGCCCACCAGCTAAGAAAACCTGGAATGATTTGATTCCCCTGTAAATGCCAACAAAAAGCATGATGTCATTTCGTTGCGCGAGAGGCGGATTTCGCAATCATTCACTGCCAGACCTAAATTCCACCTCGGAGATGAAGTATTTCTTCCCTGGAACCCACGCGAATCAGTCAACAATATTCTACTGCATTGTGATCATCTTACCATTTCCCTGTATCGATTGTAGTTGTGTACAAATACCCAACTGGTTTTCCTCTCCCCTACCTGGAGTCTCCATGAATCTTAAAAAAATGGGGTCATTACCCAAAATAAAGGGGTCATGGACCTATTTTTAAGGGGTCATGGAGACTCTAGGTAGGTTGTTCCTTACCTGACTTCCGATTCAACCGGCTCCAACGTGTCCCGCTCGAGGCAAGGACTTAGTGCAGAGCGCGCTGGACGGCTACAACGCCCGGAGCCGAGAAATCCCAATGAAACAAGTTGGAAGTCGCAACCATAGTTTTGGGTTGCAAGAATATGTCGTAGTTTCCCTTGTTGGTTGTCAAGGGAATCCATTCCTACTGGATGATTTTATATATATATATATATTTCCAGGTGGCTTAAGCAAATGGAAGGAAACCATACTGTGGCTGGACGAAATCCATTTTGCGGTACTTTGAAGTCATGGGAAACCATTGTTTGTTGGTATTTGCTGGGGAATCGAATCATTCCGTTGGGTTTCTCGTGCGAAATGGAGTTTGCAACCATCCACAGTTTTGGGTTGCAGAAAGCCATCAGACTTTTTTCGGCCCATCCACTTAGCTGGGCTGTTGAAATCCTTAGTCTTCGTGTACGCAAGGGGTCCCTTAGTGGCTTCCACAAAAGTTATTTGAAGCGCCCAGAACTTAGGAAGCTGGAAAGACCACCTGAGTGGTGAGTCATACAATTTTAGACTTGTTTCGACCCGATTTCCGAACGGCAGGTTGCATCCTGGCCGTTGGCTCCAGCCACCCCCGCGACTCATCGTCACGTGGCTTGGTGCCTCCCAGCCATTTAGCCGTCCGGCGCCTTAGCTTGTTAGATGTTTTTAGTTGGTTTAGTGGTAGTTTCTGTAGCTTTTTAGATGTTTTTCAGTTGGTTTAGCGGTGGTTTCCGTAGTTGTTTGGATGTTTTTAGTTGGTAGTGGCAGTTTCCGTAGCTTTATAGATGTTTCTACTTGGTTTAGTGGTGGTTTCAATAGCTTTTTAGACGTTTTGGGTTTGTTCAGTGGCGGTTTCCGTAAAAAAACACTCAAACTGGTGCCGATTTTTCGCAGCCCAGGTGCCATGCCTCTCCCCAAGTCCGTGTGCCAGTCCTTGAAGGATAACACGGCCGGCAGCTCACGGCAGATTTCCAACTCCAGCTGCGCGTCACGCGTCGAGAAATGTGCGGCCGCCCGGCACCAGGAGCGGCTGGAGCGCTTCCTGGCGGTGGTGGGGCAGCGACCCGGGGACTTTGAGTTGTACATCTCGAACTTACGCCTGGAACTGCTCCTGATGCTGAGGGGTGAGAATCCGGACATGCCCTTGGCTCAGCCTTGCCTCCTCATCTCGAGGGCCGAGCCGCAAGTCCCCTTGGCGAAGCCTTGCCTGTTTCTCAGCTCAAAAGGGCGGAGCAAGAACACGGTAGTGTCGTTGTGAGATCCAAGGCACCGAAATCTTGGTGCGGCCTGGTTTGGGACAGATTTGGAGCAACGGTCAATATTTGCCGTAATGGACAAGGACCAAAAACACGGGTACATTAATTACCAACCCCCAGGTTACAATGATTCATTGACAGTGGCTCAACTGTTTATATAAGCGAACGGTGTGCCGAAGTAGAAGCCTGCCACCATATCTCCCGCCAACTCGCAGCAGGGTTTTTTTCCGCTGCAAACGGCGAGTCTTTTCTGGATGGGATGATACAGAGCATGCAGGTGCATGCTTTTGGCAAGAAATGTTTTCATTCCGGCAAGCGCGGGGCAGCAATGTAAGACATGCCGGATTTTTTAATGGCGACTGTCACATAAATAATTTAAGCTGCCCCGGCAGCTCGCACCGAGCGCAGTTTTGGAGATATGGTTTTTTGTTGGCCGCTTGGATCGCCCTCAAGTTGATCTTGTAGCGTCTGCGGGTCCTTGCGGCACGTGCACCATGAATCTAGGTGTCGATTCCCCATTCTTTTCAACCATCATTCTTTTTCAACACCGTCTGTTTCCCCTGAGTTTTTTCGATGGTTTCCTGAAAAGATTCGGATCCCTGGAAAGAATGGGGAAGATACCCCGAGAATGAAGACATGCAACGGGGACGAGGGCAAGGCAATAAAGGCGTCCATCGCCCCTGTGCTCTTGATCCGCTGTGCCGCGAAAGTTGTTTTTTGCAGAGTGAGATGTGCAGAGAAGCCAATTTCAGCACCCAACACACCACGGGGGCCATTTTCTCAGTTACCCAAAGCCGACCTTTCAACCTTTTGGTTTTCCAGTTTTGGTCCATTTTTAGTCATGGCCCCAAATGGTTAACCTTCTATTTCTGGGTCCTTTGGGCAAGTGAGTTTTAGTAGGTCATTCTGCCACTCTGCGGGGGCGTTATAGTAAAACAAATACTGTTTACCTGAACCCTCAAACTGCCCGTGAAAAAGGGAACTCGCCAACGACACTTTGGGGTTGCAACGTTTAGGTTGGAATATTGATCCAGGTAGAACCACAAGTTCCCCATGGTTTCTTATGTGATCTTATTGAACCCCAATTGGATTCCAGTTCTTATCTTAAGTGATTCCCCAGAATTATAAACCAAACATGGCTTGGTATCCTCATGTTAGAACCACAAGTGCGCTCGGGGTTTCGGGCACTCATTCCATTTCCTGACTACGGCCTTCACCCGTTTCTGAAGGCTTTCTGAAGGTCTTTAGGCGGATTCGTAGGTCCGTACATGTGACCACTCGGTTTCTTGTCTGTTCCTGGACAGGGCTCCTTAAAACGCTCAAATACGTGTTGCAACCATTTGAAACATGTTGCTTTTTCCACCGAAATGATGGGACACCACCATTTACAAGGCAATGTTCAGGTGTATGATGTAAGGATCCCTGCTGGAGCCTCGAGATTCCAACTAAAACATGGGTCGGTAGTTTGGAGCGTTTGGGTTCCCTGTTCTTGGTTTATGTTGATATTTGATCGCGCTTCAGTTTTGCTTTTTATGTTCTTTAGAGCCTCTGCGGGAAAAGCACACCGGAGTGTGTTTTGCAAACATACCAATTTGACTTCACAGTCCATTTTTTACTTGTGCAGCTTTCGTCGTAACTCGCAGGAAAGCCCGACATGGTGGCACGGTGTACTGTATGTTTTTTGAGGCCCTTTTTCAAAGGGAGACCAGCGGGAAACCGCCCATTCTTCGGTGTCCAAATCCGAAATTTGACACACACTATTTGTCATTTTCCCCTGTTGTCTTTAAAAGGAAAACTGCTATTCAAGTGTTATTCAAGTGTTGTCTTGGTTCGATGTCCTTGCAATTCGTTTTCGGGGACTTGCGCCATGTTCTTGGCTCTCAGGGAGTTAAGAGGGGGTTTTGGGAACGAAGGGATCCTCTTGGAGATGGTCCAGTTTCAAGCGCGCGGACGCGGGCAAGCCGGCGCCTTCTGGAGGTCACCATCTTCGCTTACGGGCAAACGGGCGCCGGCAAGCCGCGGCCTTAAATGCCGCGGCTGCCGCTGCTGGCGCGGAGCCGCAAAGAAACCCCAAAAAGGGATCTTCCCGCCCCCTCCCCCCCGCCCCCAGATGCTAGGGGCCTTCTTTTTCAGCTGGAAGCGATTTGGGGGTCGCTCAGCCCAGATAGTCGTTCGGGGTGGTTGGCGAGGCTATTGGAGGGCTTTTCCGTTTTTTTGTTTTTTTTCTTTTCCGGAGGAGGTTTCCCTACAGGAACAAAAAGGGCGCCTCCTTGGTTTCTTTCTTCTCTGGACAGTGTCCCCTAAATTCTGGTATTTTCGTGAGCTCCTTTATTTTGGGTAGTTTGAGGGTTCAGGTATGTTTGGGGGACCCCCCTACAATGGTGGTTCTCCGTTTGGGTCACAAACAAACAAGATTACCTCCCATTGTAGTTCTGCCATCTCTGTATGCCGAAAAATGATCTACCTGGACCTGCACCCTCAAACTTCCAACTTCAATCTAAAACTTCTGGAATTGGCGGCATTCCCAGCTTTTTACGGGTAGTCGGGCCACGCCTATGTCACCGCTGGACCCGTTCCCATCGCCTCGCGTCGGGGGTCGCCGAGGACTCACACCATGTATGGCAGCAACGACAACCCCGGCCTGGCGCCGCGCCCTGAACCCAGCAGAACCTCCGCGTCGCATTCGTTTTGTTGGGCGAGGCGGTTTCGGCGACCAGACCCCTTCGGTGCAGGTTGCTTGGATGTTAGGGCTCTAATTTTCTGCGCCAACCAATGGGTTTTTCCAATTGAACCACTATAGTTAGACTTTTAGCGGGGCTTCGCAGATTTCGCAACCGAGACCCGCAAGAAGTCCCCTGGCCCCAAAGAAGTTCCAATCATGGGAATTCTTGCAACCCAACAATTATGGATTTGGTGATTTTCGGTTTTGCTTTTAATGGGTAGTTTGAGGGTGCAGGAATAACCATAAACAACATTTTGAAAAGTAACCTGGGTGGACGCTTGTTTGAGGGTACTCCTTCTTGGTTTCAAGGGAAACTAAAGGGAACGTCACCATTCTGTGGGTCTTCCGATTTAGACGCGCCATGCGCTGGTGACACGCAGGTTTTGCTCCGAACCATTCGGTTGTGAGACGCCATTCGGGCCTTCCCAACTTCCCAATTGCGATAGGCAGGGAATGAGTTGGAATGAGCCTAGGCTGTCCCCTTCAAGCAAACCACTAGTTGGGTGGTTTATAGTTTTTAGGGTTCATTCCAACTCATTCCCTGCCCATCGCACCAGCAAGTTTTCCCTTTTTGTTTTGGGGGGGAAAAGGATAAGATTGAAGCTCCGCAACTCAGTTTCATCAGTGCATTCCAAGATGTCACTGTAGCTTAAATCAAAATGCTCAGGTTTCTGAGCAAACGGGGGCGTTTGTCACCAAAATATATATATATATATATATATATTATGTTTTTTTTGTTTTTTTTTTTAGCCCCCCCCCCCAAAAAAAAAAAAAAAAAACAATAACAACTATCATACTGGGTTCCCTTGGGCCCCGGAGAGTGGAGCTTCCAACATCTTCCGGAGGTTCGGGGAGCTCGGAAAGCTCGGAGCGGAAGTCGATTCGGAAGTCCACGCCTCCCTCGAAGCCTTGGTTGTCGTTGGGACACATTGGACACATTTTGGCTTGTGGTGGTTTGGTGGTTGAAATCCAAATCCACTGAGCTGCCAAAATTTGAGAATTTTTGCTCCCCTACCTAATGTCAACCAAGTCCCAGCCATGCGGTTCCTTAGTTGTTTAGCTTTTTGGTGTATCTGTGGTGGTTTGTTTTCCATTTAGACCAAGAGTTGTCCACTTTTAGCGGGGGATCTGAAAACGGACAGCTCAGTCAACAGGATTACAAGACAGGGTCTGATTCCATGCGAGTTCTCCACTCCACTCCACCGGTAAGAACTTTATGTATTTGGGGGAAGAGCCCAGTTGCCCAGTGGATTTTGCCCCTTTGTTCATTTCTTCTTGGGAAGGGTTCCTCTTTAAACTCAACCAACGAAAAAAGGATGCCCTTTTTTCCAATGGAAATCCACTGGGCAACTGAGATAGTGTTCTTTCTAGTGATTCTTTTGTGTGGGAACAACCATATACCTAAGCCCGCAAAAACTCACCTTATAGGAATGACTGTTTGCCCCAGCGTTGTGGTTGGTGAATTGCCTCTTTTTTATGGGTAGTTTGAGGGTTCAGGTGGTTGAACTTGTTTGCCAATCCAGCACAAATTGCAGGTTGGACTTTGCTTCCTGTTTCAACCCACCTGGAGTGAGAGAACTGCCTGAATTTTCGTGAAAGCCCTCGTCTCTGTGGTTCCTGGCTGCGACGTTTAGGGAGATATCCCAGGTTAGGGCCTTTGGCCTATTTTGGCGGTTCAAGAAAGGGGCTGAGGCTATGCTGTGGATATCACTACTGGAAATGTTTATTAGTTCCACAGGGCTTAAGCAAATGGAAGTCTTTCTCTTCACTGGGGTCTCTTTTGAATGGATCTGTGACGAATCTATTTCGCACCACCTAAGAAGCCCTTAAATATTCGTCGATTCTCGCTGTAAATGCCAACAAGCAATATGGTTTCAACCATGGTTTCTTAGGTGGCGGGAACTGAATTTCGTCCATCCAGTACTTTTTACGAAGAGAGGAGCAAACACATCCAAAATAATAAAAGAAATCCAAATAAAAAGACAATAAGATACAGATAAGAAGATAATAATAATTACATGTCAAGATACGACCATAAGATAGAAAGTTGTCTACAGGAAATTGACCACCTATCCAAATAATAAGAAAAAAAGATTCAGAAACCAAAAGCACAGATAAAAACCATTAAATCTACTAGATGTAAATATTATAAAATAGAATGAAAAAATCAGATACTCTTCAGAGGTCGTACCCGCCCCTGAAAGCCCCCCCTTGACCAACTTCCCCCCAGCTTGGCCACTCTTGGCGAGTCCATCCGCTGTATGCTGAAGTGACGGGCCAAACCTTAGAGCCCCGATTCTATTCGACCTGACTCGCTCGGTTTTTGCGGTTTGATGGTCTGAGCAACTACGCCTAGGGTTTCAACTCCATTTCCCTTAAAGGGAGGGTCGCAAACATAGGTGTCCCTTGGTTGTTGTGGTAGAAAAATAGATGGCCCTAGTTTGCCTGGTGGCTTAATCATCTACCAGGGCCATCTATTTTCCCTAAAAGGACACCTATGGTCGCAAAAGTGGGCAGTTTTCAGGGACACCACCCATAAATTGCAACCTTTGAAGGCGAAAATCAGTCTGGCAACACCCGGACCCAACAACGGCTAAAAACCCATAGCCAGTTGCTCTGCAGCAGTTTGTGGTTATTTGTTTCCTCTCTTGTGATTCATGCGTCAGGCTGAGGGGTGAGCAAGCCCTTTGCAGTTCAAAGGCTGAGTCTGTTTTCTGGTTTTGTTTTTGTTGTTTTGCCCGGCACTTCTGAATTTCCCCCCAGGGTGGAGTCGTTGGGCATCTAATATGTTGTCGACAACATGAACCCATATGCGGAGCCGTGGAATGATCCCCGAACTTGTTGATAGCATAATGGTTGACAATGATTTTGGGGAGCCAGACTTGGTTGGGGGGCTCACACCTCAAACTATCCATCAAACTGGGAATTCACTCATCATTCTGGGGCAACCCATTTGTAAAGGAACTTTCCAGGGTCCAGATATCGTCCAAACCAGCCTGGTGCCAGGCAACCGGTTTGAGCCGTCTTGCTTAGGTTCCATCGACTCACTGTTCCACCTGATCCGGCAAGAGGAAAGTCAAGGCCCGTTACGGGGCTTTGCCCTGGGGATCTCGGCCGCCAGATGGTGGACATGATCCCCCACATATCAGCTCACCGTCCGTTTGCTTAAGAATCTGTTCTATTTTCCCTTGGTTTTAAGAGGAATGTACCACTACTGGGCATATTTTAGATGGATTCAACCAGAATCACTCGGCAGCCTTTCCCTTCACTGGAGTTTCTTTTGAACGGATGTCTTTGACGTACTGTGGACGGACGAAATCCATTGTCGCGCCAAGTTGAAACCATGATTGAAGCCACAAGGTGTGTTGGTATTTCCACGGGAAAGGGTTTCTGAACGGTGGTGCGAGGAGCGGATTTCAGATTTCGCAACCATCCACAGTAATGCTAACCTGGTTGGTTGGATTCAGACCACTTTTGGAGGGGTTTCACCCCCAAAAAAAATGGGACGGGTTCTACTTAGATCCTGGGTCAACATGACTTCCACCCAGGGAATCGACCTGTGGATTCGTGTGGTCGCCCAGCCGAAGGGATCCATATCGAAGGGCTCAAACTGCGGTTTCGGTGGCGAAATCTGCTCCTGAGACTCGCACCCCCGTTCAGCAACCCTGGAAGGCGATTGCTCTGTAAATACCCCCCTCCTCCCAACTTCCAACCTCCCAACCTCTCACAACAAACCTTATGGTCTCAACCATGGTTTCTTCGGTGGTGCGATTTCTGGATTTCGCAACCATCCACGTTATTTCCATTGTCTTTTGGGGGTAATCGAGTTGAAATTGCCAGGCCAAGACAAGTAAAACGTTGCCCATCTACCAAATTAAATGTTTCTTGGTGTACCCGGAGCCCTTGTGGAACACGGTTTGATTTTCGGCATGGGAGGTTCTTTTGGGCATGACACTTGCAATGCACTTGTTTGACAGCACGCCTTTACTCCCAACGGGCAAATGTGAGTATTTACACCCCCTTGCACAGTGGATTCCGCCCTTGTCTCCTTTTGTTTGGAAAGGGTTCCGGACTCTACCTTTTCCCAGTTGCCCGCTGGATTCCGCCGCTTTTTTCCACTTTTTTTTCTTTAAACTCAACCAACCAAAAAGTGGAGGCCGTTTCTTTGTTCCCGGAAATCCACCGGGCATCTGAGTACAGAAAGATGGGCTCTGCCAAGGCCCCTGGGCCCCTGCCATGTGCGCGCCAGAGCTTTCGGAGATTTTCGGAGGGCAACCCCCCGTTCAAACACCTCACTGCTCCCGGCAGGCGCGATTCTTTCTTTTGTGTTTGTCGTTCTGTTCATTTTTCAGCCCGGGGAAAGGCTGCAGAAAAACGGGTACCCTTATTCTAACCTTTGTACTGGAGGAGCTAGGTGGATGGTTGCGAAATCCAGAAATCGCAGCAATTTGAAACTATGGGAAGTCACTGTTGGTTGGTAGGGGAGTCATGATTCCAGGGTTTCTGAAGGGTGGTGCGATGTGGGGCGAAATGGATTCTGTCGGTCGACATATGGTTGATGATGTTATATTATTGTCAGGGGGTAGGTGTTCAATTTATTTTCGGGGGCGCCTGATGGCAATTCCACTCGGCCAGGCCGGAAGAAGTTTTCAGTGAAGGCGTACATGATTGAGCTGCTCGGCATCAGAGACATTGTGTGTCTTGCTTGACTTGGTGGCTCCCAGCCATCCCCTTAACTTGTTTAGGTTTTTAGGGTTTCGTGGTAGTTTCCAGTTAAACCACTCAAAGTTAAACTTTGGATCTGAGGTGAACGCCCCCCTCACCCCACCCCCCCCCCCCAAAAAAAAAAAAAGAAAGAAGAGAAGAACAAAAGCAAAGCAACACGCAAACAAAAGACTCCCATGTGCGTCTCCCATTAACGGACATTTGGACTCATTCTGTAGAAGCCTGCTTTGGGTTCCATGTGAATTTCCCCGCAAGCGTTAAGGTCATCAATATTGGCAGCGCTTTTGTTGCTTTCAGAAG